ATAATAATAATAATAATAATAATAATAATAATAATCTTGTTGTGTGGCCCAATATTCCGTCGGATTTGATGATAGATGCGGTAATAATTCAAAAATTCCTGGACAAATATAAAACCTTTTTTTTTTTCAAGTAAGGCACATGTTAGGTGTGCAAAAGCAATAATATAAATCAAAAGTATTGTGTCGACCTATGATGCAGAGGTCATTATAATGTGTGAAGTGCTTCAGATACTGTTTGTCTGCATCGTACATGTTAACGCTACATGCTAATTCAGCTTCAGACCTCCTATCAATAGTAAAAGATTTACTTCTGGTTTGATCCGTGACCATTTCTTGTTTTAGTCATAAAAGCACTGGGTTTGTCCATAAAATAATGTCTTATTGATTCATTGGCGTCTCAATCTGCTGCACAGAGAAAGTGCTGAGTCATTCCTGGGTTTCTTCAGCTTCACACATGCTTCTAATTGGGAACATACGGCTGAGAATTTTCCACATCCTCCTCAGCAGCAGAAACCTTTCATTGGCTTGTTTAAAGCTGTGCCCTCAAAGACATCCTCACATGTACATGTCATCCTGTTCTGGTGTCTTGAAGCCAGTATTTTTCCCTCATCGCTTTTCTTCTTGTGCAACTTATTTATGAGAAAACATATTTGATCTGCTCTGTCACAGAACAAACTGTTTGCTAACGTTGTGAAGGTGTGTGTAACGTAAATGCAAACTGACTGCAGTGGAACAGTAAACACATTCATGTTAAATGGCACGGTGGTGCAGTGGTTGGAGCTGCCGCCTCACAGTAGGAAGGTCACAGGTTCACCTCCCGGCCTCCCTGTGTGGAGTTAGCATGTCGATGGGTACGTGTGGTTTTCTCTGTGTACTCTGGTTCCCTCCCACAGAACAAAAACATGTTAGGTTCAGTGCAGACACCAGCTCCTCCTGCAACAAAAAATAAAAAAGGACAAATCAATGGCTTTTTAAACTATTAAACTGCACCAATTTATGAGAAAAAAAATAGGGAAATTTTACATTGTGGAGGCAGCACCGCGTATCATAAGAGTTGGGACAAAGGCAACAAACAAATATAAGGTACAAGTAAGAAAGCTGAAGGAACATTTAGTAACAAATTCAGTTAAATGGCAAAAATCATTCAGAATACTTCTAACACAATTTGTTTTAGAGACTTGTTCGGTCTAAGCAAAGCAATGTTTATTTATAACCAACAGTTTCCTGTGTACATATAATACTGCTTTTCTAAGCAGCACACATGTACACAATTACATGTATTTTTAGAAAAGAATGAGAAAACTGATCGTTTTTGCCTTAAAGAACCAGTTATTTTCCACAAAAACTGAGAAAAATAAAAATAGTTGCACAGCGACACCTCGTGGTCATTGTTGGAAAAACACTTGACCCAACAGATATTTTCTAAAACGTTGCTGTAACTTCAATAACACTTCAATGAAAAGAAACTTGAAACATAAATACCTTTAATGATCACTAAAACCGAGAGAGGACCGGATACACTGAGTGAAAGAAGACACAAACACTGCTCAGAAAAATAGTTACACACTCAAATAATATATCTTAATTAATGAAATATTAATAATTAATTAATTGATATAATATTGTTTGTTTACCTTTTACAGAAGGAATGTCAAGAAGCCTGCTAATGACACACCCAGAACCACACTCGCTTAAATCCCAAACAACCAAAATAAAACAATTTAAACTCAATGGCTGTGTAGTTATTTCATTTATCAATGCAATTAGGTCTTTTTTTTACTAACAAAACAACTTAAACAAAAATGTAACAGTGCCTCATTGTCACAAACTAAAGCCATCAAAGAATGTAGTGGAGTAAAAATTACGATTTTTATCAATGGCATGAACTGAAGTAAAAATTAAGTTCTCCCAAAAAAAATGAACTATACTGTATATAT